ATGGAATCGATCAATATAGAGGCGAGAATGAATGAGTTCCAGCACTCGGTGGAATGAAGGAGAGTCTCGTGGAGAAGAAAAAGAGAGGCAGGCCTGAGCTACATACCTCGTGGAGCGTATTGATACCTAGGGACAAAAAAAGTCGCCGACGCCGCGCCCTGCAACGGCAAGAACTGCATTTGCGGTCCCCTTATCATTTCCGAACGATATACATTCAGGTCTCTTTTGCTCGCCAGCAGTTTCTTTGCAATAGGATATTCAATGTATGTAGTAATCATTCCCGTCCGAGGATTATTTTATGGCTCGATGCTAGTGACGATTCAAACGATACAGAGGCGAGGTCCCGTCGCAGACTTAAAGACAGCTACGCGAATACGGCTTTCTCATCACTGTTGGTTTGGTTCTGACCTGATCAATGCTTTATGATCAGCCCGATCGAGCGGCCTCGACCCTGTCCGAGCAGAGTCTGTTGGGGTCATTTGACTCCGAAGACGATGCCGAGAACGTTGATGTTCTCGATTGTGACTGCGGGATTCATCACATGGAGCCCGTCGATTTATCCAACATACCTTCAACATTGAATTTTTTCAGGTACTCCCGGAATCGTTGATGCGCCTCTATGACATCGTTTCCGCCCTCAGCGAATACGCGAATTCTTCGTCACAAATGCATCGCGGATTTAAGGCATGATTCCCGGAAGACTAGCTCGTTTCGGGCCGCGTCCCCCCTCTTCACGCGACTCGTTCTAGATATTCGTCATCATCGACACTGGGTTCGCATCGGGAAAAAAAAGAATTTTTTTCTAGAGGAAACGGGGAGCCGTTTTCTCGGCCGAAGCGATTCCGATTGGTGAGTTGGTGACTCTCGCTGGCAGACTAGCAGTCAGGCAGCTCGCCTCGCTCCTTCTACCCATTAATAAGAACAACGCCGGAAACAGCGGATCCAGCGGATCACGAATTCATTACACGAAGAACTGCTGTTGACGGGGCATTGTGGGACGCAGAGAGGAACGAGCGTCGGGGGGGGGGCGACCGTTCGAAGGCAATGGGAGTCGATGAAGGAGGGACCGAACGATATGGGGGGAAGAGACGACCCGATGGGAGAGGGGGAAGAGGAGTATTGCGGGGCAGCAGAAAGAAGGCTTCGCTCGTGGACGGGGGAGAGGGGTGGGGGCAGCTCCGAAGACGAATTATTGATGAGTAATTAAAGACTACAGAATGCATTATTAACTTTGTTGTCCCATTCCGACCGAACGGGGCTCAACCTATGCTCCGAATCGACTTCATCGAGAAGTCGAGCGGAACATGTCCGTACGAAACCGTGGGCATGGCAGAATGGAGTCACGTTGGGCCGAGCGACTTCGAAGAAACCCAGACACTTACGCACGACTCGAATGGCCGAAGACAAAACCGCAGAGGAGCACACACGGGGCTCGACAAAGGAGAAGCGATGCGGATCCTCCGAAGAGGAATCGGCATGCTCGGAAACAACTCACAGGGTGGAAGTCAGGCATGCAGGGAGGCAATACGCTCCGGTGGTTTTTCCTGATCGCACCCGTTCGTTCGGTGGCCGCCGTTCTTTGCCGCCATCGTCGTCGTACTCTTGTACATTGTCGTGAAGCCTGTTGAAAGCACGGAACAAGCCCCAAGGAAGGGTATAGTCAAAGGGCCGGGGCAGTCACACTGACACAGGGGCGTGCGTCGTCTTGTGTGAGTGTGTGCGAGTGCCCTAATAACCTCGACGGCGGCGGCGGCACAACGACCGCCTCATATAGAGGCGTATAAAGGCACAACTCTGGCGGTGGTGGCGCTGCCGCCGTCGCCATATTACATCCGTGACGGCAATAAGACGGTTTGCTGGTAGCAGCAAGCCAAAAGTGTAGGATTCAAGCGGGTGGGCGCCCGGTTTCCTTGTCACACGCCTCGCAACGTCACTTCAGGCTGGGCTCCCTCTTGTTTCCTCCTCCCCTGATCCTTCTCATTGCTCGAGCCCGTCTTGTACGACATGCCGATCATCTCCTCGAGGCCATTAGAACTTTTTGGTGGTAGCTGTTTTTGGCTGAGCTCTCGTTCGTTCCCTCCGTCTCTCACGAATGTCTTCCAGTTGTACTCACAATGTACGACACAAGGCTTAGGAGGGTGCGGTCGAGGGCGACCCGGGGAGGGGGTCGGACCGGCAGCGTCTGGGACTTATGTTGGACAGGGAACATAAAAATGTCGCTTTTTCTGAACAGTTGCTCATAGTCGAGCGAGCGAGCGGGCGAGCGACCAACCGACCGACGAGGGCTCGCAATACGCCTGACAGGTGGGGCTCAGAGGTTCCCTCAGTGAATCGACGGCCGGCGAACGAACGAACGAAACAGCCAGACAGGACGGCAATGGAGGCGCCGGATCCATGTGCGTTTGGGCGAAACAGCTTCACTATCGGAAATCTATCTGGGATGAAAATCTGAATGGGATTTTGCGAGGGATCACAAGAGCCTGTTGCTCATTCGTCCTTTCTTTCTTCCTTCCTCTAGTCCGTTCAATCGCCCGTCCGCCGCTCGTCTACCGAGTGGAAACGTTGACTTTGACTGCGCTGAATAGCTTCGCGCATGCTGTACGTAGACTCGGTCGAGAGGACCGTCAGTGGAGCGAATGCAGCTAAGATAGGAATGAAATCTATTTCCCCATCCTATCTGCTTTTCCAGCTCCCGAAATAAATCCGGCTATCGATTTCCCCCGGGGGCTTTTCCGCCCGCATCACGAGAAGGTGTCCGGTGATCTCCACTTTTTTCCTCTCCCCAATCGACCAACGAAGCCAACCAGCGAAACTCCGGCTCCGAATGAGTGTCCGACATGCGTGTCACCTCCTTATGGTATTTTGGAGCGACTCCTTCAATTCACTATCCTATTCGAGTCCTAAGGAAAAATGACAAACACGGTGTAATGCATCACCTGCGTTTATTTGGGAAACACAATAAATTAGAAGGTTGTCGTTTTCGTTTCTGTGGTTGCTCTTGTTGTTGTTTTTTGTTACAAAAGTATATTTCGCAGATTCGTACAGCGACCGTTGAGTGGTTTTTAAGTACAGATCCGTCACGATGGAGCAGCCAATACTTCATTGGAGAGATGTACCACATACATGATTTCGATTTTCGACAAATTTTCAGATGTCCGGCGATTTTTCTGGTTTTGATGATCATTCACGAGAATGGTCACTCATATGAATGAATGGATCGATAGGGACAATTTGATTCGGGTTTGAGGTTTTCGGAAAGATGGACACAGGAGTTGTAATTGGAAAGAGAGAGAGAGTACTTTTCGATATATTTTTCGTTTCCTTCCCGTTTCTTCCGACACGCTGTTTGATTTTGGATTGCATCATCATGAATTACTAGGTTTCTCCTAAATTAGATCCGTCATTCGATTTCTCCTTTTCACAGTATTCCCTTCACAAGCCTGCGGGGTCTCCGTCAGGCTCCAGCATCATGGTAGAAGTTCACTTCATATCGCTCCGTCGTCGAGTATTTACAATATTTAAAAAAGTGGACTATAATCGTCATTTCCCATTTCGTTCGGTCGTTCCACGTCATAGTTGCTCATTCGCGTTCAATTTTCGTCGCTCGCTCGTCGAGCAAACGTGATTCTAATCAATGGACTTGCATCGGTTCTCGCGACCAAATGCGATCCTCCCGATCCACCCTTTCGGTTTCGAGGGTAATATTTACAGCTCGATCGATCGATCAATCAATCGATGGTAATGTCGACGCGTTTCAGAGCTTTACATAAAACGAAGGCAGGCCAGGGGGTAGCGGGGTTGCCGGGGAAAGTCTGAATTCCCGCTAAATGCGAAGGTCGAGACGATGATGGCACAACGGGCAGCTCGAATTTTCTTCCCCTCTCTCTATGTACAAGGAATGCGTTCATCTCACAAACACACACATAAAATGACACGTTTACGCAAACAACACGTACATGAAACGTTGAAAGTCTCTTCTGCCTCTGTCATTTCAGCAACTTTACGTCGGGCGAAATAGCCACCGAATCCCGAGCTCGCTACCAAAGTGCAAACTTGCGACCGGCTTACCATTTTCGAGTTCGCCCAGGCTGCCCGCTTGCTCCATCGTCCTCGCTCAACTGCTCGACAGCTACCGCGTCCCCGGACCTCGCCTCTGCATCGACATCGTGTAGAATGCTCCACGAAGGACGCTCGCTTCGAGAAGAGACCATTCACAAAGCTCACACCTTGAGTACCGCTCTATGTACAAACACGAGCTGACGAAACACCGGCGCTCGTCGAGGGCTCCAACAATTTGCTGCTAATTCAATGTTTCCTCAGAGGTCCCGTCGGCGTCGATTCCGATAGAGACCGTGGAAGTGAAAACTACGAAGCCTAAACAACAACTAATGTTGAGCCTCTCTTCCGATGAACGGTGCGTTCGAGCCGTCGTCGCTGCCTTTTTGGTAAACGGTCAAAGTACACAACTCGGATTTGCCGGCGATCGCGTATTCTTGTTCGCGTACTCCGCATCGTACTGTTCTGCTTTCCATTAAGTTATGCAAGTCTCTGTCTCGACAACGTGTTTGCGACACGCCGTCGCTGGGCTCAACCCCTTGGAAAGTTGAGACCGAGTCCGTCAGCTTACGCTGTTGGAAATTGCTTGTCGCGGGAATCGGGAGATGGGTTGCGAGCGAACGAGGGTGGAGTGGGTGGTTGGGGGACGTGTTGTTGTCGTAGCTCTTGTAGTTGTTTTTTTTCCTGTTGTCGCTGGAGATTGATGAAGGAGTTTGGCAATGTATGTACAAAATGAACTGACTATTTACACACTCTCGCGTCATGCGCACCGTCCAAGCCTGCTCAACAAAGTAACTCGAAAACTTGGACTCACACAGCTCTAGTCAACGTAACTTCTTTCAGCACGAGAGTTCGTTACTTGGCTTTGTTCACCTGTTTTTCTCTCATCTCTTGTTCTCCTTCGGAATTCGAATTCACTCTCAGGAGGGAGACAGCCTCATCGATCAGCAATCGGTGCTCAAATGATTTGGTGTCGATTGTTGTGAAGATTGCTGCTGTTGTTGACTCGAACACTGCTGGGGGCTCTGACTCCCTGTCGGAGATTGTTGCATCTGGCACACGACCCTCTGGCCGTCGAAGACCGCCATAACTAAAGGGTTGCTGTCTCCGCTCAGCTGATTACTATACGTTCCTTGAGTCTGCTGCTGTTGAAGCTGCTGCTGCTGCTGTTGTTGCTGCAATTGTTGCTGCTGCTGTTGTTGTTGCTGCTGCTGTTGCTGTTGTTGAAACGAATTCGCCGGAGAGCCCCACTGTATGAGGGGTCGCTGGTCCGAATGATGACTCACTTCGGATGGACTCCGAAGGTGCTGCTGAAGGTTATAATCGTGTTGGAATTGACTGAGGTTGAGCTGATGCTGATTGAGTTGTTGTTGAAGTTGAGCAGCCTGGGCGGCGTGCATGGCGTGGTGACGTCCCATCGCATTTGGGTCTTGATCCTCATCTATCGATTCGTAGATGTGATCTATGCCTTCCAAATGGCCGTAGGGCGGAGGCGGAGCCTGTCGGGACTTGCCCCCGAGGTGACCTCCTAAAGTGCTGCACTTTTTACTTCGGGTATTAACGGCTATTGCGCCAAGAGTGTTCTGGCCTCCCAGATACGCAAGACCCAGCTGACTCCCGGTCATCATTGCATGCTGCTGCTGCTGCTGTTGCAGCTGTTGTTGGTGGAGATGCTGCTGCTGCTGCTGTTGTTGATGGAGGAGCTGGTTATTGCGCGGAGTCGTACGACTCGAGTCCAGAATCACTTGCGAAGGTACTACGTTTGGCCGGTCCAGTGTGGCAGCTCTTGGATAGATTCCTGAGTTGGTGCAAATCTCTTGGCCCTTTTGGAGGTTCCAGAACTGGCTCGGAATCTGCGGCGAAATAGATGAGAGGTCACTCTGGGGTTCGGGCTCGAGGGATCCGAAAAACGAGGGGAAAATTCAGGGAGAACGAAACCGAAATCAAGCGAGGATCGAAATTCTAAATCCGAGAAATAGGGAAAATGTCGATGCCCATCGGGTACTCACAGTGTGGGTGGCCCCGGAGGGTCCTAGCATCGCCTGGTGATTGGAGGGCAAAGCGGTGAGCGCCGGATGAGCGTGGTGGTTCCTCGACAGATTAGCGGGCAATCGCGAAGAACCTTCCGCGTCCAGCATCTTATCGCCTTTGAAGCAATCAGGAAGCCACGAGCAGTTCACGACACATTTTCGGTATTCGCTTTGCACTCGTTCATTTGCCAAGCAGTGAAACAAGAAGATGAAGAGACCCTGAATACTGTTCAGCACGGTGAACATGTAGGCGAGGGCGACGGATTCCGACGTGAGGTACAGCAATCCGAACGCCCATGTGAGGCCGAGAAGGAACACCAGCACTGTGGCGCCTCGGATCCAAATCCTATAGAGAGACGAAGTTAGACCACGGAGCTCAGGATCGGAATTCACGACCGATAGACTGATGGAGAGATCGATCGATCGTTGAATCGATGAATTTATAATGATGGAAAATAATCGAAAAAAAACATGAATTCAGGTTTAGGGGTTAAAGCATAGGTTAGGATCCAAACCATATGATTAGTTCGACAGGTGTAGATGGGGATGCGGGGAAGATGGAAAAGGGGGTCGGATGAGGGGGGGAGGGGAAAGGGCAAGGGTAAGTCAGAGCTAGCGGAGGAAGTTTCGACAGCCGCGGTACTGATAGCAACGGCCCAGGTCCCAGGCGGTTTGGCGGTAGACTTCGTTCAGATGAAGTACTCCCTTTGAACGCAGGTGGACGGATTCGGGAAGAAAGGAATCGAGGGGGAAAGGGAGAACAGACGACGGACTCTACGTCGGAGCGAGGTGTAATTGAATATATATGCTAATCTACAATAGAGCGGACATACGTGGGTACGCACGACCGAACGACTGAACGAAGGAGCCAAGAGGTGGTCAAGAGCGACGACCCCGCGGCAGAGAATACAATTGCGGACAAGGAAGGCGAAATTCGTAGAGGCCGCTTGGTCTATAGTTCGATTCTGAATGTGAGGTAAATCTCGAACAGGAAAAGAACAGGAAAATGGAGGAACGCGATTCGCGGAGACGGCGTCTGGGAGGGGAGACTCTGGGGCTTGCACGGATATAAGAGGAAGAAGATGGGGATCTCACAGCTCGCTTGAAAAAGGAAGAGAGGAATAGCGAGTTCGAAGAGAGAAATCGGTTCGGACCGATCGGGGAGCCGCCGGGGAAAAGAGGTGGGGACCTCGATTTGGAGGAAGGGAGAACGGGAGAGCTTGGAATGATTATTCGGAAGGGAAAACGTTGACCAAAAAACGAAATGCAAAAAGAGCTCGCGAGGGAACAAATGGAAAGAGGGAATGAGGAATAGGATGAAACAGTTTGGGAGTCGCGGACACCGCCGATCAGGAGAGGCAAGAAAGCGGCTGAATCGACAAGCAAGCGTACAAGTAGCGCCCGAATAGATGAATAGCCACAGATGGACTTGGGAGTGATTGATTGATAGATTGATCGATCGATCGATCAATCAATTGAGTATGGGCTGATGGATGAATTGAGGGGATTGAACAACTTAAGCAAGAGCGATGGGCATGCGTCGAGCTGAACCAAACGGAAGAGAGAAGTAGAAGAAATAGAGGAATCCTTACGCCAGATGAAGATTTCGGATGGTGTCGTCCGTACTATATGCCGGTCGAGTCAATTTGTCAGATTGGATCGATTGGACAATAATTATTCGAGGAGAACCGCGAGTTTACGAGAAAGACAGGGAGATCCGTAACAGATCCACGTTGAGATAACGAGGAGGTCGGGCCCGATCGTTGACGAATAAAACGGATTTCGATACAACGAGAGAGAGAGAGAGAGCGAGGGGGTTTGATCAAAGGAGACGAATTTCCGCAAGATCGGAGAGAACCGGTTTGCGTCAGATCGGATATTCGGTGGAGATGTAGAGATGGAAAGAGATAGATAGACAGATAGATAGAGAGATAGAGGTGAAGAGAAAGTCGGCATTCAGCATGCAGATGCGGTCAGGTCACCGCAGCGGATAGACACAGAGCAGCGTTCCAAGAAGAAGAGAGACAGTGGAAGAAATGAGAGGCCCCAGTTAGTCACAGCGCCCGACTTATGCTCTACTCTAACCCCATGACAAGACATGGCCATCTACGAGCAGATCTCAACATGGATAGATAGACAGATAGATAGATAGACAACAGAAGGCACTGAGTGTTTATTGTCTTCTGCTCTTTTTTTTTCTCGATTTCGGGTCAGTACGTTACAGAGAGAGAGATAGAGAGAGTCAGTCAGTCACTAGAAAAATGGCGGAAAGTCTAATCGGAGAGCGTACCTGAGGTTGGATAGCTTTGAGGTCTCCTTGGTCTTGACGGAGTTGGCCAGGCTGGCGTGTTTGCACATGGTGTAGATGGCGACGCCCAAAAAGACCAAGTTGGCAAACAAGATTGCCACGACGGGGCCGACGAAGCTCAATACGAAGTAATTGTCGGAGCGCAGCCAACAATGCTGCGAGGTGCCGTAGCTGTTCGGGTCGACAGCGACCGACACCCCCACGACCAGCGACGGAAGGCCGTACGCCAGTAGGTAATACCAATGAAGTCGCGACTTCTCCAGGTCGAACACCTCGATCAGCATCACGTACAGCTGGAAGCCTTCGAGGAACATCCACGTGAAGGCTGCGAGGAACGTGTAGTGGAGCACGCCGGCTATGAGTCCACACGTCAAGCGGTCGCCGGTCCGATGGATCCCCACCACGAAAACAAACTCGGCCACGAGCAGGCAGAAACAGAGATTCTTGTGGATGGCCGCACGATCGCCCTTCAGGCCACGGCAGAGCTGCAGTGCGATCAGGGTGAACGAAAGACATACGATGGACACGCAACAGCCGATGTAGGTGATCACCTGGAGAGCGGACTCGCCTCCGTACGAAGCTGGGCGTGGACGCACATCCATCAACAAGGCGAAGTTGGTCAAGTGGTTGCAAGCGCAAGCCGTATGCGTTGCGTTTGAGTCCTCGATCCAACAGCCTTCGGCCGACCAGTCCCGCTTGTTGAAGTCCCAGAAGATACACTGAGGGTCAGTGGTGTTTTCAGCGACTTCGTGCTGCAGGACGATCTTGATGGGAGGCGAGAAGCCCGATACTTGAGGCCTGTCGAGAGTGGCGGACAGCACGCGCGAGTTCACCACTCGAGACACGTTCGACGGATCGTACTCGCCGTAGAGTCCGGTGTACGGCGGGAAGTTCGTGCCCAGGATGGCGTTAATCCTTTTGAACGAGAAGAATGCGACCCGGATGGGGCCGCCTCGAGCGTGTTCCAACAAACTTTGCTGGGGCAGCGTGAGCGAATCCTTGGCGTCCGTCCATTCAGTGCCGGCCACGTCTCGCGGTTCCGGAAAACGCAGATCGCCTCCGAGTTCGTGTTGGGCTAGCACTTTGACCGAAGCGACTGGAAATTAGGGAGAACGGAGAACGTTACTCGATGAGAAGCCCGTGGACGAAGCCAGAGCTCCGAGTCCGGACCCGGTCTTCCGAGGCCGGAACACGACGCTAGATCTTACCCCATGAAGCCTCTTTTAATTTATTCTCAGGGAAGTTGTGGAACTAAGATGGGACTCTCGAGAAGTCTCCCGGCTCTAGGATTTGAACCCTTACCGATGTTGTTCTGAACCCTGCTGTAGTTCAGAGGTGAATATTGGTGCTTCAGCATGAGGACGGCGTTCTTTTCGAGAGCTTCGAGAAGAGTTGAAGCCGCGGCTCGCTGTTCGCCCGCCGGGAGGTCGTTCCAGGCGGCCGCCTGTTGGTCATCCAGAATGTTCGAAGCGAAGTCTATGACGGCCTGCAGAACAAGAAGAAGAAAATTGGAATGGTGATGGCGAAAGGCTCTCTGAATGAGGGGAGAAATCGTTTTCCCCGTGTAATTTGAAGCTCGCCGCCGCTGAACGACGACCGAACTGCAGCCCGGTCCGTCCGGCGACGAGGGGAATATTCGTGCTCGCGGCAGCCTGAACGCGAAAAGAAATGGTCCACTCCTCTCAAATGGCCACCTGCCACGCCAAATCAAAGTGGCTGCCGCTGCTGCTGCATTTGACGACCTGCTTGATGACATCGCTCGAACAAATAAGGGACACAAAAATTCGTTCCCCGCTCCACGGTCTTTGCCCGATGAACCCGCCGCCTCACTCGGAGCCGAAGACGCGGTACATCTGGGGAAAACTCTCCGGACGCGAACTCCACGTTCTGCGATGCTTTCCCAAAATCTCTCAACCCTTATTCCCCTTTCCTTCTCGGGGTTTCCCCCCCCCCGCCTCACCACACTCTCCCCCAAACTTAAATTTTTCCCGCATTTTCTCTCTTCTCCTCCCACCCCTCGTCGAATGATGATTCTTATTCCCTCTACTGATTACTTTTTCTCGCGATGGAATTCTCCGTCCCCAGTGCTCCCTAGCCCCGTTTTCCCCTTTCGTCCCCCTCCGGTGGTGTACTTACGTTCATGAGCTCCTGAGCGACCTCTTGCCGTTGATGAGAATCCGTAGATTCGGTCAAGCGATCCTCGACTCGGGCTACGAGCTGCTGTATCAAACTGGTGGTGTGCAGGAGATCTCCTCCGAACAGCGTTTTCACCCGCGATTTCTCCGAGAGCTCATTCGCCAAGTTGACAACCGAAACGGAGCCGTCGTGGATCTTGCTCTCAATATGCCGAACCCACACCGAGTTGCAACCGCTCAAATCAGGGAACTCGGTGAGCCACATCGGGGGGTTCATACCGCATTGCCATCTAGCCTGTCCCGAGCTACCCATGGGACAAGGCAGGGTGGCCCCTTCTCCCTCACGTGTCCATCCCCAGGTCATGTCGCGGATTTTTCGCGGTGGACAGTGTGTTTCCTTACTGGGCGGCAGTTCGGGCTGAAGTACCCGGGTGAACACGTCGGGGGTGGTGGGCGGCGGCGGCGACGCGGTGGTCGATGTCGTGGACGTTGTCGACACGTTCCGCATGGGATTGGGAACTTCGATCTCCGCACGGCTTCCTAACGGCGGCGTGAACGTCGCATGGCGAGCAGGTTCCCGAATTCCCGTTTGAGGCGTAGGGGGTTCGGGCTCGGTTTCCTCGTATTCTCCGCTCGGAATATCGGTCGGAGGAGCCAACGAGCTGGGCCTAATAATAGGCGGCGGTGTTGTAGACATTGGCGACGTAGTCGACTGAAAAATTATGGGCGGAGGGGGCGCGTGTTTGTTTCCTGATCCCGTTATCGACGGTGGGAAGATGATCAGCGGCGGTTTATATGTCGTCGTGGTTGAAAGCTCTGGGACACACTGATAGTGCGCTTCCAGATACTTCTTTGTCCCCGGGCACGGGTCGTCCTCGAAGAATTCCGTTGCCGCGGACAGAGTGCACGACTTCTTCTTTTCGCACGATACTTGCACCACCCGAAACGATCGTCGCGACATGCAGTTGACGCTCCAGTCGAGGTTGCCCTGCTGATTGCAGAGCGATATCGAGAATCGGCCATAGTTGGCTCTTATCAAGCGGATGATGTGTCCATCTTCACAAGTGATGTTCATCACACCGCCTTCGCAGGCGTACGTCGTCAAATATTTCGTCTTATCTGCAAAGAGAGAAACGACAGATCCGTTAGAAAAAAATTATCAGGCACCTCGAGGAAGGAGTGTCAAGGTTCCCGTATCTCGAACTCCAGTCAGGACACCTAGCGAGTCCCACCACGGGGAAACTTAAGGATTTCCACCACAGGACACCCGAGGAGTCCCACCACGGGTCACCCGAGGGTTCCCACCACGACAGCGGTCCCTTCCAGGCATGGTCCCGGACATTGGATGGAACGAAAACTTTTCACCAACTGAGAGGAAATTTTGGAGCATCTGCGAATCCAACTGAAGCGATAGTGGCCTTGTGCCCAACAGAGGGAAAACCCGACGTCGTCGTGGAACGCAAACGGTCGGCGAGATTCTTGAGAGCCGAATGAGAAGATCATTCTCACTTTGCAGTGCACGCCCTCTCGGAGCTGTCATCTAACCCCTATCTCTTAACTCGTTCTTTCACGTCGTCGTCTTTTCGTCGTTCTGCGTGCCTTCGTCTTCTTCCTCTGCGCAAAGTCCTCTTTTTCTCTTCCGTCCACGTTTTTTTTCTCTCCTTCCACCGTATTTTCTCGCCCAAGCCAGAGACGGGCCTTTACTCAACTACAGGAGGTAAGAGAGGATTTGCTGATGAGGTGCTTAGCCAACGCCGCCCGGTGGCTGCGTCTGTGTGTGCTCACAGAGAGAATGGGACGACTTATAAGAGGCAAGAGCAGTCTGTAGATGGTGAGTGCAAGAGGATAGTGGACCGAGTTAATTCCAACTGAACAATTCGCATTCTCAGGATCTACTTCTTCGGATCCACTAGTTCTATTGCCGCCGCACCCTCGGTGACCCTTCTCGAGACCCCTCGCTGCCAACTCCAATCGACGCTGAGAGAAAGCTGGACGCTCGATTCCCGAGAAGGACCGAAGAGCAAGCGACCGGAGGGCTTCTTGTACGGGCTGTCAACGACCAAAACAGTCGAGAGACGGAGCGGATGAGTTGACCGGGAACTGAAGTGAGTCCATTGTCTTTTCGTTTGTTCGCTCGCTCGTGTTCCTGCTCGCGCAGTGATTGCACAAACAGGAGACCCTCGCTTGGGACAAGTTCTCCGAAGCAACGATTTGTAGCAACTGCATGCAACTTCGCAAACACGGTGCTCGAACACCCGCTCCGAATAAATCGACGCTTTGTACCGGGACCTCTCGCACCGCATACGCTCCCTGTCTCTCTTTCTTTCCCTTTGGTTATTGCCGCGGCCGCCCTATTCTCTTCTCGCTAACGATTAATATAAACAGCGTTGGAGCGAAGTGTTGGAAGAGTCGACGACATACGAAGAATAGAAGTAGTGTTCTGAAGCAACAACGTCCGGAGCCGTCTTGTTTTAGCTCGCTTCGTATGGTTAGCGAATCGACAGGAGAGCTGACAGACAGGCCGATGGGAGAGCAAGCGAGCGAGCGAGCTCATTCCCGCTAGCCGGCTCGTCAACAACTCGGAAAAGCTCAAGGGACCCGATCAAATTAAGTGTATATATTTTCAATGAATGAGGAACAAAGTTGCTCAATTATTTAACAACAGTGGAGGCGGTGGTGGCATCGACGACGACGACGAGAGAGAGACGGCGGCGGCGACGGCCAGGCAGCGAGGACGGCGGTACGAGCGAGGATCGTCAGGGAACGGATCTCGGACGACCCTTGGCGGATTGCGCGTAAAATGAAGAGAAATTGGCGTTCGATGTAAATTTCTCCCCGTCTTACCGACATCGACGACAACGACGCGACGGAAAAGGTCGAAAGTCGAGAAGAGCAAAGCAGCAGAGGGAGAGAAAAGACGCAGGGAGGTTTTCCGCAGGGAGGTACATCGGAGGTTTTCCACTCGAAGGAAGATATCGAGCCACGAAGCCTCTCGTGTCGCTGTTGACCTCATTCAATCTTCCTGCGACAATCAGTCGCCTGCTTCCCTTTTCTCTTTCCCGACCACGTTTTTCAACACGCGTCACACCTGACGTAAAACGGTGCGACCCCCGCACAGTGAAAGTAATATTACGTGAGGGTGTCGATTATGAATCTCGACGACAACTTCGGCAACCATGAGCGAATGGCACGGCTCCACGGAACTTGTCCACCCAAAAGAACAGAACCAGTCGGGAAAATCGGGAAGTCGCTCTATCTGGATTCCGATTCCCTCGGATTCTCTTCCGGGGAGATCTCCGCTTCCTTCCCTCCATCGAGAGAATAATTCTGAACCAGCCCTACGGATCAGAACTATGCGACTCCCGAGGGAGCTCACCGAAATTCGAGGGAGAATGCGGAGGGCACGGAGCGGGCATCGGCTGGCCGACAAGAAATCCAGAGAATATCGGTCGTACAATCTCCTGACGACTCCATATCGAGAACGGTCGGCGAGAAGGAACACAAAAAAACCTTCCACCGGCAGGACTACACAAAAGATCCACGGAGGAGAATACAGAGATTCGAAGAGGATCGCACGGCGTTCGCAGCGTGGAGTTCGCATCTCCCGGTATCGGGCTCCAGCCGGCTGTTTCCGAGCAAACATCGGAACGCTCGCCGGCCGCTCGGAAGTCTCAGGCGTACGGAACCGTGATCCATTCCGGGGGTAATGAATTAACTTCGAATCAAACACTCGATAAAACCCAGAGTCGGCAGACGTGAGGACAAATAAAGCGGGTTGCTCAACATCCACCGGATGTGTTCGGTAATATCAAACGTGTGAATGATCGGTCTCGAGGGACATCGAGAGCGAGGTCTAGTTAATTAACGCAACAAACACGCCAGGAATCCCCATTTAGGCTTAGCGGCCGGACAAAATATTTATCAGGGTCTTCGGACGCCGCACCGCGTCGTCCGCCTCCTACCTGGCGCTTAAGCCACCGATGCCCCCAAGGGCCGACGACCGGTTCCCGCGACGGGCGGCTTGCCCCCCCCCCGGCATCCTTGTCCCCTCCCGCCCCTTCTGGGAGACCCCTCCACCGCACACGAACTCACGCGTTCGTAACCGCGGCCGCCGCCACCGTCGTCCAAGATGGATTGTCGTCAAAGTTTGGCGTAAGCTAGCTCGCTGACTCGTTTCATTCACACAGTAAAGCCAGCAGAAGCGGTCGCAAAAGCTGTCCATGATAAATTAACGGCCGCCACTGCAGGTTGCTCCTCTCTGGGCGAGAGAGGACGCACACTGAAACGGGAGCAACTCCAATTCCCCACAAGCTCGCCCAGCAACTCTCTTCCGACGCCCCGTCAATTGCCACAGCTCCTGGCCACCAGCAGCGAGTCGGCCGCCTCGACGACGATGGCGGAAAAACCTTCCTGTTGCCTTGCGCGCCGCGTCACGAAAATCGACTCCATCTCGCCGGCTATCGGAGATCCGTTAGTCATGGCTTCGCTCGCTCGCCCGCTCTCTGGCCAGGGTCTGACTCGCACTCGAGCCGGAAGCTGATTCCTCGACCACTCAGTTCACTCACTGACTGTCTGACTGGTGAGCAAGTCACTCAGCTGGCCGAGGAGAAACAAGTAATTGTGTTCCGAGATCAGATATCGGTTCTCTGCTCACATCTGTGCGTTCTTTGCCGCTTTCGCTACGAACCCGTCGACAGAACCACGTACCGACACTTTCGAGGGCGGTCTCTCGACGGGTCGGACACGCCGACGGACGGACTCACTTACGGACGACTCGGGAGGGGGCCCTCCGACCTGGGGCTTGCAAGGCTGGGGTTGGGGAGAGAGGCTAGAGCTCCGAATCCTCTTATTTTTGCTCATTCTAAGCGGTGCGAGCCGAATTCTGTCGTGAGGACTCGCCTGCTCCGCAGTCAGTCAGCCAGCCAGTCAGTCAGTGAGTCAATCAACGAGATGTGTTGCCCGAAGGCAGAACAAGCAGCACGCAATTTGATTCCATGCCTCGCTCCACCTGCGCCATGTTCCATTCTCACAGTAGTCTCCGCACATCGCAGCAGCAAGCGAACGGGCGAACGATGGAACGAGCAACGAAAAGCCAACAACTCGAATGCTGATTTCGTCCATCCTTGCCCTCTCTCTCGCTCTCTCATTCACTCGCTCCCTCTCAGGTAGACATCAGAACATCGCCTTCAGCATTGAACGTTTGTTGTTGTTCTAATGGTGTACAGTGTTACGACTCGTGTGAATAAGCCACGGAGACTCCCTTGCGACTTTGTTCCGAGCTCGAGATCACGGATTCAGTTCGCGCGGAAAACCGTTGAGACAATATGTATGCCTCGGGAAAACTCCTCTCCCTCCCAGATGCTCCCTCACCACGCCTATCCGAGAGAGGAAAATTCGGCTTACTGGTCGAGCGATGGGTATAGTGGCGTGAAATTTAATCATTCGAGTGCCCGGGGATGTTGTCCTGATGCTCGGCTAACATCCCGGCCAAAACGCTCTCAGCAACAGACGACAACCGACAACCGGCGCGGCGGCAGGGTGACCGACCGAGCGGCTATGATAATGATGATGATTGAATAATTGATTGATCTCGTTAAGTATTAGGATAACGTCATCAGCATTCGATGGGTCGACTCTCGACGAGTTCCCCCTAATAACGAGAAGTAGGAGACGACGTCAACGACGACGACGACGACTACGCGGGGAAAAGAGAGGAAAAGAGGATAACCTACACCGCGAGCGGCGGCTCCGAATCCTCCGGACGAGCGTTTCGCCCTGCACCACCACCGGGAGGAAGAGACAAGTGTAAGCGACCACCCTAGCCATTAATTTCGTTCTTGGATCCCCCTTCGACGACGATGTCGTTGCTTCTGCTGCTTGTTGTTGCTGTTGTCATGTTGTGTTGGGTAGGGTGGGCAGATGATGCCGCTGCCGCCGCCGTCGCCACCATCGTCGTCGCAATAAAACACACCCCCACACCAGACGCCAGAGAGGAGTCAGCTTGCCCGGGGCAAAAGAAGAAAGCACTTTTGAAGGCAATGATCTGGAAATCGCTAGATTCTTTTGCCTGCCTGCCAGCCAGCGAGCTATCCGAGAATCCGACCGACCGACAAGAGCAG